TCCACCTCTGAAAAGCCCTACCTATGACTGTGCGAGGCTTTGGGGAGACATCTTAGGCACAAGCCATAACACTATTAAAGACACATTTTTCTACACCCTTAAATCACTCCCAACAGCTATAGCGATGACCATTCCTCTAACTAAATGCTAGTCCAAGAGGAAGATTCTCATACTTCTCATACCCCATGATCACTTCAGGCTCTCTCCCGACATGGACTGGATAGTTCACCTAAGAGGCTGTTCATTGCATCTTTCAGTTCCTCGATAACAGACCTCTACACATCTCTACCCTAAGACAATCTGCCTATGTCTTTCTTTCCACCCACTTCACTCCACTCATTCTCTAAACTTTAGTGCCCTCACTTACATCACAGTATTCTAGAGGCCTTCAGCTTATCCCACATTGTCTGTCATTCAGTTCAGATGGGTTTTTGGTTTCATCTTCATTAGCAGCTGCTTCATTGCCAAGATCTCCAGCTGTGACAACCTCCACCCATTCATGACCACAGTTGTCACAGATGTGACCTCCCGTGCCTGTCACACAGGGTTCAAGGAAGCTGTCCTGGGTTCTTGAGAAATCCTACAACCCTCCCTGATCTCCTGGTTTAGAGACCTTCCTCTGCCCTCACCTAACTTCTCCCAAGGAACTTACTTGTTCTCTGAAATCTCCTGTTGTCCTGAGCTACAGCAGGCTTTACTAATTTCCTTAGGTCATGATGACCTCAAATGAACACGTTCCCTGCTTTCGGTTCCAGGCTGTTGTTTTGCTATGAAAATAAACATGCGTTACCAATTGTATCTGTAAGTCTCTCAAGAGCAGTGCCTGCCCTGCCCTGCTCCCCTGCTCTGTATAGTACCACCTTTCACCACCTCCTGCCTCTTTATATTCCACACAGTACTTCTCCCAGGTCTCCCCTTTCCCCAGAGTCCCTCAGGCCCCCCTCTTTCATAGTAGTAATCTCCAGATATCAGCTCTCAGCTTCAGTTCTTTACACCTCCCAACCTTGGGCTTCGGACTCCTCTCACTTATTCTAGACTCTGATGTAAAAAGCCATTTCCGTGTTTGTACTTGAAACCCACTTATTGCTCACTCTGTCTCCAGCATAAGAAACGATAACCCATTTGTGGGGTGGAGGGATCTCCTGGGGCTTGATAATTTTTTGAAATGACTGTTGCACTCTGAGGATTCTTTCTGAATTGAAGAAAAACTCATAGAAACATCAGGCTAGGATGCAGATGGAGGCAGTAGAATTCTCATTTCCAGAGTCGTAATTACCTAGACTTGAGAACTGTTGGTAAGAGATGGGCATTTCATGTGGACACCTGAGCATGTCAGGGATATTGGCAATCATGTTTTATCCTGCCTGGTTATGTTTTATACGTGTGGATGGGAAAGAAAGGAGATCTCTATTACATTCAACTGCAAGCAACCACGGTGCATTTTTCAGCTTCCCACCCACCTCTTTGAATTTGGTGTATCTTTTATAAACAACTTTCCTGAGTTTTGTTACGCCCTAGGGAAGAAATGTTCACCTGAAACTTAAAAGCTACACTGAACAATTTGGAAGCATCAATGCAGAATTACAATACTGGCACAACTGTAGAAGTCAGCTGGTGGGAGACTGTGGGGTGATTTTCCACACCTTAAAGAAAGGCTCTTGCCTGTGTGTGTGCTTGAAGGAACAGGAGAGCAGTGCTCGGGTCTGGGTCACATAAAGAGATAAAGATGCTATGCACGGTGGGAACAGTTTGGAATCACCTCAAACAGAAAGGTCAAGTCTATTGAAAAGATTGTGCTTGGGGATCACATTTTCTCCTCTTCCCTCCTCCTTGGGTGATTAAAGTCATAAAAATGGTGTTTTCCTTTTATTGTTGGCAGAGACTTAAATCCTAGTATAAATAGACCCAGAAATCAACAGGGAACAAGGTCACATTTGGGATAAGTTTTAAAACACCCAGGCAGAAACTTAGAAATAAGTAATTTCTGCCTTACTAGCTGAAGGATACAATGTATGAGACTCTCTTTTCATAATAAAGGGGTTTATACAC